CATTTGCTTAGATCAGGCCAGTGGTGGGATTCAAATTTTTTTACTACTGGTTCTGTGGGCGTGGCTTGGTGGGCGTGGCAGGGGAAGGATACTGTAAAATCTCCACTCAGAGGTGGCATTTGCCAGTTTTCTGAACTACTCAAAATTTCCGCTACCGGTTCTCCAGAACTGGTGAGAATCTGCTGAATACTACCTCTGGATCAGGCATGTCCAACCCATGGCCCACAGGCAGCCTTGAACAGACAGTAATGCACCCCACAAGATAATAAATAGATAAAAATAATAAAGTTGTGATTTATATACATTAACTATTTTACATATTTTATATATGGCCCAAGATAATTCCTCCTTATTCAATGTGACCCAGGCAATCCAAAAGTTTGGACAATTATATGCATCCAGTCATTGCTGATTCTTAGCAACCAGAGAGATCCATAATAATCTGTCCCTTACTTGGTCTTTTAGCTCTTCCAATACCGTACCCTTTGTTTCTGTATCCGAGTCTATCCACTTTGCTGTTTGATCTCTTTTTCTCTTTCCTTCCACATTTCCCAGCATTAGAGCCTTCTCCAGAAAGCTAGATCTTTGCATAATGTGTCCAAAATAGGATGTTACACCTATTAGTAACACATACACCTTAGTAACACAGTTACAGGGAAATCCAAAAAAGATTTACTTTTTTATAAGATCCATCTTCAAAGATGCCTAAATAAACAGAACAGTCCCTGGGTAAGAGGAAAAGTTACCTTATGAATAGTTAATTGTTAAGGAACAGAAAACAAAAGTAGGAATAAATGAAAATATTACTGTAATGATGACAGGCAAAAACATATTCTACTCCCCCCTACACAAGGATCTTTATTGAGATTTAGCACTTTTTCATTTTTAATGGGAATGGAACTGGTACAATGTATATAGTTAAACATAACCTTCATTAAAAAATCTGAGTTAATATAAAAATTTAATTCAGCCCAAATGTCTATGGGTGACTCAAAAATTTATCTTGGTGCTTTTATTAAATAATATGTATCTGTTGTATCCCTCCCCCCCAACCAAAAACAAGAAACAAATTCCATGCTGAGAATAATTAGGGAAGAGATAAAAAATATTGCTATTGTGCTCATATATTTATGCAGATATGGCTGTTTTTCTCTGGGCTCAGAAGCTAAACACAGGGAATATCGGGGCTATAGGGGTGAGAAATCAAAAACATCCCAGTAGGCAAACCTCTTGCATACTGTTGTCAAGAAAAAGGCATAGATGTATTCATATAACCTCTGTTGGAAAAGTTTGATTTGAAAACTTCAATACTCATTACACCAACTATTCTGGAAGCATCGTCCCCCTAATTCCAAACCCACCAAAATGTACACAGAAACACAGAGAGAGAACTAGTGCAAAATGATGGTTTTACTTTGGCTCTTACAATAAACTAGAGAAGGCTCTAATTCTGGAGTTTGGGAAATGCTTCACCGGGTTATTTTGCCTCAGTTCACTCGGCTGGAGACTTATGGCTGTGCCTCTGCTCTCTATGGTTCTCTGCTACGACAAGGGGACAAAAGTCACATCTCATCGACATGAACAACACTCAATGAAAAACTCTGGGCTATGTCAACACTTTAGTATGACAATAAGTTGCATTTTGGAATTTTAAAATGAAGGAGCAAGCCATAAAAAAAATTACTCAAAAAATTACTCAATTTCCAAATAGATTTAAGATGCAATTCTATAAAACATCTGCATTTTTCTTTATTTGTTGATGCAGTTTGAAATGCTAGCATGGTACGAGGAAACAAGGTTCCCCTAGAAGGGGTTTTGTTAAGGAAAATGGCTCACAAAAATGCATTCAATGTTTTGATTAAACATTAAATTTATCATTAGGAAAGTGTGAAACCTTGATCAGATCAAATTTGATGAATTCACTCATCTTTAGGATGTTTAGCTTTATGCAAAACACCTACTTTTTCTAGATATGTGGAATTCTAAATACTTATATGGTAAGTTTTTCTTTTTTCCTATATCAATGGTAAAATCCAGGAATTAGCCAATAACACTGAAAAATTGATGGGAAAAATATAGCAATTCATAATATGGCTTGCTATTACTACAAAACATATGGCTGGATGGCTTTAAAGGGGACTTATTTTAATAGTTGGCCGCTCCTTGCTGACCTTGTCTGGAATCAGACCTAAGCTGGATAAGCCAATTTGGTTATTTAAACGAGACAGCATCAAAGGTACCAAAACTTTGAGCTCCCCTGAAAAATCAAAAACATTCCAGGAAAGCAGTGCCATGCCACTTTCATACTGTTGCCAAGATGACACCATGAAATCGTCCGACAGCTCAATCTAAAGATTTTCTTTTCCATTAAAGGAAGATCATGTCGTTCTAATGGACTCTCCCCCCACACACACACAACTTTTTTTGTCTGTGTATAGTCTGTGTACAGACTACTAAACTGGAGTGACAAAGAAGTGCTACAATTCCATTTGCCTCACTGCTGACAATCAGGGAAGCCGTCGTGCCTCAAGTTGCAAAACTACTACCGTAGATTGGGAAGATCCAATCATCATTACGCACGATCAGATGCCCGAAATGTTAGCAATTCAAAAACCTCACAGCCCGGGGGAAGACAAGCAATCGTCAACACCAAGTCACACGTTTCGCTTTTATTAGCGCAAGCGCCGGCAATTTCCCCTTCCTCGCGTTTCGGCGATCGTGCCCAACTTGCGCAAAGGAGTTGCAACGGTGCCGTCCTTGCAGCCTTATTCGAAGATCTTCCCTTTCCATTCCTGTCACCCTCTTCGTCCACGCACGGTTGATCGCTCAGTTGCCATTAACGAGGCGGATCGCGCCGGGGGTGGCGGGGTGGGAGGGGAATCGCGTCCGGATTTCCACGCTCTCTCCCAAGGGTTCGCTCCTCCTTCGCTCAGCCTTTGGCGCCAAGAAGTGCTCGGGGGAGCGGACGGCGGCAGTAACGAGCGGCTGCGGGAGCTCGCTTTTCCAATAGATTCGAGCGGGTTGCAAATCTTGCGCGCGATCCTCAGCAGCCCTCAGCATGTGAATGGAGTTTCCCCCGGCATCCACTTCGAGCTATGTACTCCGGGAACAACAGCCGCGCGAGCAGCCTGGAGCCCACGCCGGGGGAACAGGACTTGGAGCGGCGACGGCAGCAGGCGGCGGGGGACTCGGGGAGGCCGTTCAGCGCCAGCACCTACCATCTGTTAGCCCTGCTTATCGCCGCTATCGGCTTCGTGGGCTTGTGCAACAATTTGCTGGTCCTGGGGCTTTACATTAAGTTCAAGCGGCTCCGCACGCCCACCAACCTCTTCCTGGTGAACATCAGCCTCAGCGACCTGCTGGTGTCGTTTTTCGGCGTCAGCTTCACTTTCCTCTCCTGCCTCAGGAATGGTTGGGCCTGGGACGAGGCCGGCTGCATGTGGGACGGCTTCAGCAACAGCCTCTTCGGTAAGGGGAACCCGATTGGGGAGCCCTGAGCTCCAGCCTGTTCTGGGGTCGCCGTCCGTCCCTCTGTGAATTCGTGCAGAGGGGCCGGGGCAAGATTTGGAAGGACGCGAATATATACAAAAAAAGTGAACCTCTGCGCCGGGGCAAAGTTTTCTTATTTCAGTGCCGAAATGGGCTCGGATGCGCGTCAGTGCTAATGTTGACAAGTCAGGGTTTAAGGGTTCAGATCGAGCCTCTCTTTAATATCAAGGTAGCTATAACAAAGGGTTGCAGAGGGGGTCAAATTATTCTCCAAAGCACCAGAGGGCAGGACAACAAACAATGGTTGGAAGCTAATCAAAGGGAGAAGCAATCTGGAATTTAGGGAGAAACTTCATAATTGAGGATAGTTAACCGGTAGAACAGCTTGCCGCCAGAAATCGTGAGTGCTCCATTACTAGATATTTTTATGAGTCTAGGCAGTCACTTATCTGAAATGGTAGGTTCTCCTGCTTGAGCAGAGGGCTGGACTAGAAGACCTCCAAGGTCCCTTCCAGTTCATTCTACTCTATCCTCTTACTTGCTCCTCATAAGATAACTGGCCTGCCTGCTTTAGTTGATCTCTTCTACTTAAATCACCCAGTTCATTCATAGCTCATTCCTGAGAAAACCTATGGGGTCTCCAGGAGTCAAAAACCACTGAGTGGCACATGATCAATCCGTCAGGATAGCCTTATCACAGCCGTGCCTTGGAGTAACTGAGATTGCCAGTTGTATAGGCTGAAGGTGGGAACAGCTATTTTTTTTAACCATTTTTCAGACGTTCTACAATGTACAAAAGCAAGTGTTAGGCTAATTTGCCACTGTAAATAGCAGGTGTGAATTTTTGGAAAGCTGCTTGAAGAAGGGAACCTATTGGTTAAGCTGGGAGTTCCAGTTCTGATCCTGCTGTCTCTCATACTGTTCTCTTGTGTATATCTTTGCTTCATATCATCCCCCTTTTATACTTAGCCCCTATTCAGCTTAATCATTCAGTTTCATTTCACATCTCATTTTCTAATAATGCAGGTGTTTCCTCACCTTGGGGAAGTCTCTCATACCTAGTGAAAGAAAGACTGCTGGTGTTCCATCAAGCAAGCACTATATGGCTTCAGGCATAAAGCAATCAGGGCAGCAGTGTCCATTTATCAGACACACCTGTTCTTCATTTGGGGATCAACATGGAAGTTGTAATCTGCTCCACAACAGTGCTATGCAGGTCATATCAGTCTGTGGAACAAACCTTTGGAGTTGTGCATCTTCATAGATCTCTCACCAACTTGTCATTTTCCAAACATTTCTTATAATCACCACCAACTGACAGAGAATAAATCATATGATACTTATAATATTGTCTACTCTGAGATCCTATTAGTACTCTCTTCTATTGACTTTTTCCTGTAATGGCTAGAGTTTGTAGTCATTGTGCCAGGCTCTAATATCACATACACTGTACACCATTTTTTTCAACCTCATGTTGTGTTAGTCCTTATTATCTTGGATAATTGTGTATGATATGGAGGTTATAGTCCAGTCTTTCAAGAGCATTCTAGACTTGGAAGGTTGCCTAACACCATATGCACTAGCTGCTGTTTCTAAGTTCACCATAAAGCCCTTCTACAATCTTTTCTATGGGGCTTTTGTGTTCCATCATCAAATTATTGTGGCTGTCCACCATTCCTTCCTGTTTCAAACATTTAGGCTGTCATTACCAAAACTTGTCAGCTACATGCAACTAGTGGAATTATTTGATCCAAATAAATTTTTAATGTGGGTGGAAGAAACCCAGGGGTGTGGAAAACAGTTCAGAAAATCAGATGGACTTTCTGATGAATGCTTAATTGAAATATTGAACAAGCATATTCCATTTTCATTATTTCCTTGTTTCATCTCTTTTGTAATATGTGATATTTATCTGAAACAAAGATGACTCTAAAATAAGAAACAAAGTACAGCCATGTTGCCAAAAGAGAAGATTATAATAAAAAACGTCTGCCTTCAGTATCCTGGTCTCACCTGATGTAATCTAAGACTTCTATTCAATTTTAAATATCGAAGTGGGAAAAACCTCCAATCGTATTTTTTTAGAATAAACTGTTGTTTTTTTATGTCTTTTAAAAACAAAACAAAAACTTAATCTTAACATTAACTGTTCTGCAACATCCATTTCATCCATTTCCATCTTTTGTGCATGTTTATAAATATATACAATATTATACATATATATACAATTTTCAGTAAATTGCTTATCTTAAATTTCTTCATTTTCTATCTGTCTTAATTTTATCCAATTATATCACATATCCCAAATTTTATAGTATTCAGACTCATCCTTGTCATTTAACATTAGGGTCAGTTTGTCCATTTCAGCACAGGTCATAATTTTTTGAATGATCAGTTCATGGGATAAACATTTTTGTTTCCAACATTGTGCATAGGATATTCTGGCAGCCGTTAAGATGTGTAATATAATATAATATGTATATGTTTTTGTAGATTTTCACGGGTACAGGTATGTAGGTCTTGGTGTGTTTGGGTCTTTTCCCGTGTAAGATTGTAATTTCCCATATAAAATGCCAAGATACTCCCAATCTTACATGGGAAAAGACCCAAACACACCAAGACCTGAAGAATTTCTTGCAACCATTGTTTTATTTTAAGCCAATATTTTTGGGCTTCTTAACAAGACCACCACGTGTGATAGAAAGTACCTGTTTCTTACCACATTTCCAGCATGCCGGATTCATGTTGGGGTGTATTTTCGTCAGTCTTGCTGGAGGTAGATGCCATCTGTAGAACATCTTATAAATATTTTCTTTGGATGTTGAGGATTTTGTTAATTTATAATTTTGGTTCCATATACTTTCCCATTCTGTTAAATTTATATTATGTCCTATATTTTGAGCTCAAGCTGTCATACATCCCTTAACAATTTCCTCTTCTAATTCTACTTCTAATAAATATTTATAAATTTTTGTATTTTTTTTTTGTTGGGGCCTATTAAAATCTTATCCAATTGTTGTAATTCCGTATATATTTCATAATCTTCTATGTCTTTTTTATGTCTGGTTTGTAATTGAAGATACGGCCACCAGTCAATATGTATCCCTTGTTTTTGCAAATCCTGATTCGATTTTAATTTTCCCTGTTCATCTAAAACATCTTTATATTTAGTCATTTACATTGGGATGTATCATAGATACATTGGGATGTGTCAAAGCTCCCATTGTGGATAGCCAAATCGGAATTTTCATATAGTGTCTCCTTTTAATTTTAATCCAATTTTGTATTAATGAATCTCTAATCAAGTGTCTGTGGAAATATAATTGCTTTTTGGTTCCTATATCCCACAAAAAGGAATGCCATCCTTTTTGCAGGTCATGGCCCTCTAAACTTAATATTTGTTTTTATTTAGATTAATCCATTCTTTAGTCCAAATTAGCACCGCTGCTCTGTAATAAAGTTCCCAATTTGGCAATCCTAAGTCATCTGTGCTTCTATTGTCTTTCATTTTGATTCTAGTTTTTTTTCCCCTAGCCATATAAATTTTGCCATACTCTTATTCATCTCATTGAAAAAGTTTTTCTCTAATTTTATGGGGATTGTTTGGAATAAGTATAAAAATTTAGGTAAAATAGTCATTTTAATTGCTGCTATTCTTCCTAATAGTGATAATTGTAATTTGACCCATAGTTCTAAATCTATCTTTGTTTGCTCTAGGAGTTTCGTGTAGATATTCTCTTTTATTGTTTTGCATTGTGCAGTCAGCCAGATACCTAAATATTTAATTTTCTTTATTACTTGAAGTCCCATTATTCTTTCCAATACTTTTTTCTGTAATTTCATCAAATTCTAAGTCAAAAGTTTAGTTTTTTGTCTATTAATTTTAAGGCCAGATATTTCCCCATATCTTTCCAATTCTTTAATCAGCTCATTTCCTGTCTCTAAGGGGTCCTCAATAATAAATACCAGGTCATCCACAAAGGCTTGTAATTTGTATTATTCCTTTTTGACTTTTTGTCCATAGTCTCCTTACTCCTTACCATGCCTTACTGAGTTCCTATTTGAAAAAATAACAATGTGCTGTTAGGTAATCTTGCCTTGAAGACTTACTGTACTGAGGAACGTCAGTGAGTCCAAAATATAGCATTTTGGGGGGTATAATATCTCTGCTTTGGATCTGCAATTGTCACCAGTTATATTCCTGAGACAATTTAATGTGCAACTTCTCACTTGCATAGGTGCAGTAGTCTGCTCTGACAAATTTAAGTCAACAGCTGAGGGCCTGATCCAACAAATTGTTGTCAGCAGGCTGTCAGTCAGTTTTTAGGATTTTACTGTCCACTTGAAACAATTCTTCAATATTGGATCTACATTTCTCCCTCTGCTTTTGGATTTTATGCCTTGTAGCTGGAACCCTCTAGTATTTGAATCTTAAACTGACAGTCCTTAAACACTGTCTTCATTCCTTTCTCCTGGTCTGCATGCCATTGGTTACCTGCCTTCTAACATCTCTTTTCTTTAATGGCAGTTATTTTGGACTGATTTCTTGGACCCTGGGTGCTCTTTGGACAATTGGTGCTACACCTGAACTACTAAGCAAGATCTTATTTTTCCTGTATTTCTTATGGAGCTCTTGTGTGACTGCTCAGTTCTTTGAATTGCAATCCCATCCATAAACCACAGTTACAATCTGCAACACAATTTGTGTTCGCTGAGTCTAGAACAGGACAGTGGCTTGGAACGCGGGTATCTTTGGGACCAGGTGTGCTAGCGGTTTCTGCCCATTCAGTAAAATCTGAAACAATGGGCTTTCATTAGGACACTTCCTTAAGACAGTGTTATCTGGAAGGATGCCTCACCCATAGTAAACTAGCTACCTACCTATTCACATTCCAGAAAGCCATTAATATATGGTTATTCCAAAGAGCTTTGGGAGTAGAATTGGTTTTGTATGTTTTTTATGTTTCATTACTGCTTTG